CCCACCCACCCACCCACCCACCCACCCACCCACCCACCCACCCACCAACAACAACAATCGCGACCACAACTACAAAGCACAACCCCACCCGCAGCCGCACCCGCACCCATCGGCAGCAGCTGTGAGAGTTGTCGCTGGGAGAAATCAAGCACTGGTGCGCGTTTGCCGTAATGTCACTGGAAGGGTAGGAAGGGCTTTGCTGGTTTGGTGCGACATTGCAGCACGTAAATGACCAGTCATGTGTTTGGACTGTGCAGGCACTACCGCGTCCTGGACAATTCGAAAGGCCAGGCATTTGGTTTTTCTCTTTCAGACCATACCCAGCCAGCAGTTGCCAGTGGTGGTTTGAACCCGTTTGAACTGTTGTGGCGCGGGTGAGCATCGTGTTGCTATTTCCTCTGATATGTTGCTAGCAGCCAAAGGTTATGCCAATCAGAAAGCGGGCGTTTGCTGGCTTCAGATGGTGCTTCCACCCATGGCATTGCAAAAGGCAAAGCCGTCAGTGGTTCTGCCTGCCCCAGGTGAGAAAGCCTATTGGGCTGCAACCTTCACAGGAGCGGGGAAAGAGTTGATGGCCATCGGATTCGACGGGCTTGGCGCATCGTCTGAGTGGATATGCACATTGTGGGTTGATCATGCCTGCAAGGTGTGCGACGTGTTCGGGCTTGAGCTGGCATCACCCAAAAGTTTCGAGTTTTACCCAGTGCCAAAAGTGGAGGGCACATGCTAGAAGGATTGTGTCCAAGCACTGGCGTTTGTGCTTCCAAGGCGGGAAGGCGTAGCCTTTAGCCTGCCCAGAGGACCCCTGCCGGATCGATTTTTGTGCCCAATAGCAGGGCACCTCGTTGTCGCTGCTCTGCCATGCACATTCCTTGCATGTCAACTTTCGGTCCGACACCGATCGATCCCAACCCCCGAAGCCCCACCAAAATCACTCAATATCAGTTTAATTCTCCCACATTGTCACATCACCAAGCCTCACGCACTTATCCACCAAGACCTTTGGTCAACCTGAAGCTTGACTTCCAGCCCAAGAACTTGTGATGTCCTGAAGTCAGGGGTCCTTCACGCCGTGCTCATCGTGGCACTCTGCGTGGTGGCCTTGGTGGACTGCCCCGAGCTCCTGAGCACCAGCAACTTCTTCCAGGCTCGGAGGGGAGGTCCGAAAGGAACCCCCGCAGAACCCGTGGGATGGGAGGCCTGTTTGGGGGTGGGGTAGCGTTGAATGTCGATGTTTCTCGCTTGACTATTGGGAGGGGCAAGTCGCCACAGCTACTTTTCTTTGCAGACGTCCTTTCCAGCAAGGCGGGCCGCAATCTGAATGCAGTTGGCCTGGGGATGCTTGGGCTAGAGAGGATTTCGGCCCAAATGAATTGGATTCGATCTTGACCTCACTCTGAGCACAGGAACCTGACACCTGTACCCATGCAAACGCACATGTGGGTGTACAGCGTGTATGCATACATGGGATG